TCACGCTCTCCTCCGCGCCCGGCAGCAGGATCGGGATGCGCCCGTGTCGCAGCCCGGCGACAACGAACGCGTCCGCCGCGTCGGCCTCGAGCTGCACTGTGACGTTGGCGGAGCGCGTGGGATGCCGGTTGCGTACTGTGAGACGCAGGGGGGCGGGAATGTGCAGCCGGGCGGTCGTCGGCGCGTCGAGGAGGGCAATGAGCCCGTCAGAGGGCGGGTGTAGAGGCGGGAGTGGGAAGCGGGACGTTGCGGGAGCGCCGTGGCTGCCATCCGGGAGGACTCTGGTGTAGATAAGGCATATGTCAGAAGTAGTTCCATCAAACAGTGTGCGCACTTGTACCTTCGCCATGTCACCTCGTACTCGCCTGGCCCTGGGATGGGCTCCTCAGGCTTTTCCTCGTCGGGCACGACAAAGATCCTGCACCGGTCACAGAGCTCGTCTCCAGCCATCCACTCTGCGCCGTGCGCACATCAGCATGTACCACGCAGTCACAAAACATATAGGCACGCACCTCCAGTAAAGTCGTCCTGATCAACCGAACAGTCCACAACCTCCGCTCGCTGCCCGTCCTTCCGCTGCAGCACAACGCTTTCGATCACGATGCCCGCTGGCGCTGCGATCGTGAACGTGCTCGTTACTTCGGCTTCCACCGCATCCGCCTCGTCTCGAGGTCGCTTCGCATTCTCGTACGTCCTGAGATCCGACAAACCGGGCAGTGCACGCGTCGGTCGCTTGTAGACTGCCGCGTGCACGATTGTCAGCGGGGCAATCGCAGAGACGGAGATCGTGCGCAGCGTCTCCGTGCGGTCGACGGTCGGCGGCGCGCTCGGGCTCGTCGGCTCAGCGGGTACAGGGGACGTGGGTGAAGTGGGAGCGGTGGGGGTTGGCGAGGTCGGGGTGCTCAAAGAGGTTGCGGGGGTACGGGACTGGGACTGGACGGAGATGTCGACAACGCGGTCGCCTGGGGCGCCCATGTTGGTGAGGTAGAGCTTCTTGAGGACGCTCACGCCTGGGGAGAGCGTCCCGCATGCGATGCCCTTGATGAGGCTCGTGGAGCGTTGCTCGTCCATCGCGATGTGGTTGACTATGCTGCGCATCAGCGACAATGAACATTACTAGAAGAGAGGTACGCACCGGCTTCGTCGATCTCGGTGGGCTGCAGTAGCACGTCGACCACGACCTCTAGCTCCTTGTCGTCTCCATTGGTAACGTTGATCTCGATGGGGAACCCTTCGCCGAGGTATGCTGGACCGTAGTGCACAATTGCAACTTGGATGCGATGACTGCGGTAGCGAACGTGCACGCCGGAATGGTCTTCCCGCCGAATGGGGGTGAAGCGCGGTGGGTCGACGGACACCAGCCATTTGGGTGCGATGAGAGGAGAGGAGGAGGGAGACGGGACTATAGGTACTTCAATCCACCAGCTGCGCTCCTTGATAGTAAGGACAAGTTTGGTGACCTATGCGAAGACGCCGCGCGGTCAGTGCATAATACCGAAAGAGGTAGTGGATGACGGACTCACCGAAATGTTCATAGGAAGGATCGATGAAACGCTGCCTGCAAGGACAATCGTCGTGCCCGCTCCCCAGCGCAGCGTACCCTCGATCTCCTTTGCCTTGCTCGGGGCGGGAGAGACGGCTAGTTCGCCTAGATCGATCCTCTGCACCAAAGGGATATCACCATCGGGATCGTCTTGCGCATGGCGCACGACGATTGGAGGGACATCCCCGCTGAAGTGGATCGCGAGCGAAGTGAAGGGCAGCGACGACAGCGAGACGTGCGGACGGGACGACAGCTGGATCTGGAAGGGAGCGAGGTTGCCGACGTCGACTTCGGGATCCCAGAACACCACTGCCGCATCGACTAAGATCGCAGCGAGACGTCAGCACTTTCCCGGTGGCTTAGGGGGCTCGACATACCGATTGGTTTCGACTCAGACAGGTCGACAACCAGGGGCTCATCGGTGGCTGATGGAACGGTACTCTATTGGAGCAGATGTGAGCGACAGCGGACTACGATAGGCGACGCGGAACGGACCTGGAGTACTGCAAGCAAGTCATCCTGTAAGGCATCAGGGTCGTCTGCCGCCACGTTCGCACCTGAGAGGGGCAATAATCAGCACATAGCTCAGATGGACACGACAAGATAGAGCCAGCGTACCATAACTAAGCATCTCAACAAGCAAGCGCACGCTGAGGTCCACATCGCCCAGCTGCTGCGCGCACTTGTACCACTGCGAGAGCAACGGGTGCAAGAGAGTCTCCCAACTCTCCCTCCGATACGTTCTCGCAATGCGCTCGAAGAACCTGTCCCGTGCATGAGAAGTTACGAGCCAATGAAAGGGAGAAGTGGTGACGCACCGGACGGCCATGTCGAACTTGCCCGCGTCATAGTACGTCTGCGCGATGCGGTACGCAATCCAAAGTGTGAGGCGCCCGGGGTTCTGCACGTTCTGCGGGCTCCACTTCTTGAACAGCTCGTACGAGCGTGTGTACAGCTATGCTCTTGCGCGTGAGCATGATAGACTATGACAGGATCGGATATCCCTGACGGACCTCGAGCACGATCGTCAGGTGGTCGACTTTCCTCTCATTGACGAAGCCCGGCGAGTTATTGTCGCCCTAACCAACGCAGGTACGGTCAGTCACAGCTTACCACCACAACCCAGATGATTGAGGTGCGAACGTACCCCTGCCTCGAGCAGCGACAAGAATCGTTCTCTTCGCCGCTCTGTGCACCGCGCCGCCATATAGTAGTAGAAGCCGGGGTGTTGCAGCGCCTGATTGGGATTCAGCCCGAGCACACGCATCGCATCCAATCCCATCTGCGACGCCTCGAGAGCCTGCGCCGCCTCGAGAGCCGCAGACGGCGCTGAGGTGGGGTATGACGACGGGATCTTGAGCGTACTGCGGGTGCCTTGCTCCAGCAGCTCCGCAAAGACACGGTGTCTTAAGTGAGCGTAAGTGGGATCGAGCACTGGAGGGAGGCACGCGGGAACTCACTGCCGGGCGAGCCAGCTCCAGAACTCGAATGTCTCTTCGCCGATGCCCCAGCCACGCGAGAAGTCGGCAAACTTGCGCATGTGGCTGTTCTGGTTCGAGAGCGCGAGAGAATGCTCGTTGTTGTAGAGGTACAGCTTTACGACCTAGTGCCACCGTTTGAACATGAGCTTCTTCTCGTTCGCTCGGGTGATTGCATGGTCTACCTTCACGTTGATACAATCGGCCAGCACCTTGGCTTCCGCCCAGCGCTTCGTCCGTGGAGGCAGTATCGCTGTCGAGCCAAACATAATGAGAAGCGTCGAGTACGCGTCCTGATAATGCCTGTGTATTGCTCGATCAACGCGCGACGCAGAGCTGAACTGACGATGCCTTACTTGAGCGCGACCTGGTCCTCCCCACGGAACTCTGCGAAGCACGCCATCTTGTACTCGTAGCGAACTGTCCAACCCTCCGGACGGAGTGGTCGGGCGATTCCGGCGCTCGCCATGGGTGATAGGGGGAGTTGGTACGACGTCGCTTGCGAGTGACGATTTCTCTTCCGGCGAACGCGTTTCGAGTGGTTCGTGTAGTATTCCAGCGCCGGTTCGTACAGAGCCTCTTGTAGACTGCACATAGGGTATTCGCATCCTGACAATATACACGTAAAGTTCGAACATACCTGCGCACGAAGTCACCAATTTCCGCTTGCGAGACCGGGCTCAACACGAACAGTGCTGCACGCGGATCAAGGCCGCTCTGCCGTCGTATGAAGGTAAGTCGTGCATCGAGGGAAGGGTCGTCTGCGCTCACGTCAGACGCGATCGTGTAGTCCGACGACGGCACTCACCTAGCATGCGCCGGCTGGCCATGAGCACTGCGGTCAGCTTGATGCTCCGCTCGTTTGTGCTCTTCTTGCGTTGCGCGATCTCCGCTGCCAGCTCGCTATCCTTCTTGCGCTCCTCCGCCTCCCGCTCGCGCTCCTCCTGCCCCTGCTGGAGCGGAGGCGACTCGTATATTCGCATGAATACCACGAACACGGAGGGTACGAGCGTGGTATGCTTCCGTATCCATATTGGTGCGATGAGACCGTCGGGGTACAGAGGTGATGAAGGGGTCAAGGGGGAGAGAGGGGAGTGGGACGAGCTGTATTGCGGATCTTCTGGACGCAGGAGTTTACGAGGCGGAAATGGGACGTCCTACGGTGTTGTTACACCTCGCGCGGTCGCAGAAAGACACCATACGTACCTTGTCCACCAGCACGACCTGAAAGGTCTTACACTTCTCCGGTTGCCAAATGGCGACCTTGCGTTGCGAGATCAGCGCGTCGCGAAGTCTCGTCGCGAGAACATGGAACGGGTCCTGTCGTGATTGGGGAGTGGTGGGCGTGTTCGGAGCCGGAGTCGCTGGAGTCTGCGGTAGCTGCGGTTGCGTGTCCAGTCCGGCCACGAACATGACAGGTGCGAGCTGTACGAGCAGCTCAGGAGGATATGAGTTCATTCTGGTCGACAGGGTTATTGGGGCATCCAGAGGGAACCCCGGGCCACCAGCGACGCTACTCAGCGCAGTAGATTTGATGTCCTTCACGGGCTCGGAAACTTGATGAGTTATGCCTTGCGAAGCTCAACGGCGAGTGGGACAGATGTTAGATGTAAGAGGCGGCGGGACTTCTAATACAAGCAGGCGGCGAGGACAAGCCGGAGAAGTATATTCAGGCTGAGGAAACGCATAAGAACTGTAAGACAATCGCAATAAATGCTACTTAAGGGTAGTAAGTTTAACAGTCAGTTATGAGAACGCATTGTGATGTGAGATAACAGACATCAAGCGCAGTAATAGTAAATGGGAAACTGACGAGCTACAGTTAGTCTTGTAGTAAGTTTAGGTCTTATTCGGACTCTCATCGTAATAACAAGTCTGGCAAGTTGGCTGAAGAGTGAAGCGTTCTTAGTACTTACTTACTGCATTAGTACTTGCCCATGAGGGTGTCATAAGTCTGCAAAGTGAGCATTACGTAGAATTCCCGTTTAGCTCAGTTGGTAGAGCGCGTCACTAGTATGGGGTGCGTCATTCTCAGCGCAATGACGAGGTCAGTCGTTCGAGTCGGCTAATGGGAATGACTTTTTTTTTCCTTCTACTTTGTGCTACGAACCCGAATCCAGACAGCAGGCACGGATGCGTAGGCTTTCCCCTCCTCCACGACACTCAACCGTGATGCTCATCAACACACAAACCTCCAGCACACACCAGACAGTACATTACGATGCCACTCTCTCCGGCACCTCGCAAATCCCGTCGAACCTGTCACCTGGGAGCTTCGGTCGTGCGAGATCGCTTTCGACGTGACTCCGAGTCAAAGTCGACTGCCTCTTCCGAAGTCGCTTTGCGCTTGCCCTTGCCCGTTACAACTGAGCTGTGACTCGGATAGAGTGAGCATCTTCATTGATGACTCGGTGCACATACTCACCTAGCGGCAGTTGTATCGTCACCTACTTGTGACACCGTGAAATCAAGTTCATCGTCGACCACTGCGTCATATTCGCCGACCCGGGACAGCGGCGTCCCATAGAGAACCTTTTTCTCCAGGCTCTCGAAGACTTCATCCATCTTCGTCATCCTCGCTTTCACTGATACAACTGTCTTGTTGAACGTGTCCGCGAGGTCGGAGATTTTGTCCATATCGACGTGCAAAGCCGTCTTGAGATTCTCCAGGGTCTGTAGGTCGTCAAGGACCTCTTGTTCCTCTTCCCCGCTGAGAAGTGACAGTCGCTTCTGCAAGTGCGACCGAGGAGAAAGCTCTTGAGGCTTGCCTCTCGGTGCCGCAACTGCCGGAGTAAAGACAGGTTGCCAGTTCGTAGGAATCCCGGCCTTCTTCGACGGCGAAGGGCCGGTCGGCTTTGGGAAGACGACGCCGCCCTTCGAAGAAGACGGCAAGCTGAATACTGGTGGGAACTTCCATTCTGTAGCTATGTTCGTCGTGAGTTCTCGACATCATCCTTCATCCGCCAGCGCTGCTTACCTCGTTGTCCAGAGCTGCTTGCGCGGTCCGGGCCATCGCTCGAGGTGCGTTGTTTCTTAGAGATTGTGTACGGGGCAGAGCCTAGGACGTTTCATACATCGTCAGTGCCCTGTCAGAGATCTATGCCGACGTCGAAGACCTACCCTCGGCTGTACCACTACCACTGTGCACGCTAGTCGGTCTGTTCACGATGTCAACGCTGGCCGACTCGGTCTCTCTAGGCGTCGCCGCACTCCGTAGCGGGGATCTCCTGGCCCGAGATGGATAGGTCCGAATCACCGGCTGGTATCGTGCGTTCGAGATCGACTCTACCACCACAGGCTGTTGGACATCCTGGCTGCCTACGAGCTCTATGCTCACTCCATCGGCTGTAGTTTCGTCGACCTCGACGTCGTCCGGACCTACCCGTTGTGAGGGTCGAGCCAGACCATCCTCCGTAATCACCAAGACTCACCTTCGCCCCTTGTGTTTACAGCACCCTGCTCTACCCTTCCCCTCTTCGTCGGCGTACGTTTGCCTTCGTTGTTCGCCTCGGAGGCCCTTGGAACCAAGCTGTTGTAGGGTTGAGCAAACCGGTGGCGAGGTGGTTGGGATGGACGACTCACCGGGGTACTCCGTCTGGACACTTCTTCATTAACTCTTCGACGATCTCGGCCGTCTTCTTGTTCGCCCTAACGCCATGATCCTGATTCAGAGCACAAGGGCGCCGGTCAGAGAAAGCGAAGCAAGTGGAACCAGTCCGAACCACCGAGCTCAAACGCGCACTGACCTTCGCAATCATCTGCAACTTCGTCCGAGCGAGGCTACGAAGCTCGTCTGCGTCCATGGTGTCGATGATGGAGACTCGTATGGTCGGTAGATGTGTTGTGTTGTGGTGGGGTGGTGGGTGAAAGTTGAGATTGTCTGGCTGAGCCTCTGGCGCGGTCGCTTACAGCCACAAGCGCGTCTGGCCTTTGGTCACGAGGGACGCGTCCGTCGCGGGTCCTCGCGGGTTGTCCTGGATACACACTGCTGCAATGCGCTACTCTGAGACCCATACTCCACAGAGGAATATAACTATGGAGAACCGATTGCACTCGTCATAGCTGGGATGGTGGACGAGTCGGACAGACTCGGACTCGAACACCACATGTCGGGCTACTTATCAGTGCAGTCACTAGCACTGTCAGGCTGTACATTGGACTCCGGCTTGTCCCATAAAGTTCAAAATCTGATCAACGCCCACAACTTAGACTCTCCAACGAAGACATCGGACGCGGCGTCTTCAAGGAGTCTGCCAGACACAGCCAGACCGTGACATCGCCACGGCCGGTCCTAAGAGTCGGATCGAATGTGCAAGATGTGACAAGCGAGGCAGGAGAAATGCAACATGGCTGCTTCGGCAAGTGCAGTCACCAGTCCAAGCGTGCTCAGCCGGTGAGAGCTTCGAGGGCGCTGCCAACGGACCGGCAAGACTCATGTCTCGGGTGGCAGTGTGGCAGTCCTCGGCCCTTGCGTGCCAGGCTGCCCGGACCCCTCTGGGGCTGGCTTCAGCAGTACTCCAAGTGTATTTTTCACTGCCTGTGACTCGTAGTCTCATCATTCAAGCACGGCGGCGGAAGAACTATCTATAACCACCGTGCGCACTGCCACCAACTCGCTAGAACGATGTATTCATTTGTAAGCGCTCGAACCGAGATGGGTACACTGACGACATCAAGCAGTATGCGCTGGAATTCCCCCTGAAATAGCTTGTTTCAGCATGTCAGACGATAACTAAGAGGATCTGCGGCTTTGTGAGATGAACTGGTTGAGGAGAGCAAAGTTCAACCGCCTTTGTGAAGCGAACACGTGGTGTTGATTAAAGGCGAGCTGCGGGCGCTTTGACATGTCGAACCTCTTCCTCCCGCCACTACAGCCTTTTATCCGGCGCCTGCATTTCCAATCAAGCCCGCTCGATTTGGGTCACAATAGCCTGCGCGCAGCCTGGTTACGCTTCAACATACTGTACTTTACAAAACAACCCGGGAGGGGTGTGACGCGTGACAGGGGTGGACAAACTCCGGGACAACGGGAGCGCCCGAGAATTTGTGTGACAAGTACCCGATTTGGAAGGCGGGCCCCCTCTGGGGCCCGCCAAACCCGGGCGCTTCCCCGGTCAGCGGCCGTGTGACGCGTGACAGAGGCCAGATTCCGGACCGGGAGACCCCTGTGTGACGCGTGACACCCCGGGTTGTTTTGTAAAGTACAGTATCACGAGACCCCAGCGTAGAACCGCGCTAGCAGGTATGTTCCTCAACCACCTCCTCGTCTTTCCTCATCACCGCTGCCATGTCTCGCACTACCAAACACGCCCAGTCTTTTGCTCATCCCACCGTCGCAGAGCTTCGCGACGGGAAAAAAACCTGCTCCCAACTCATCCCCTGCCCGCTACAAACGCAACACCATAGACTCGACGCTGAACTTCACCCTCGCAGACGATCGAGGCGAGCTCCGTGACACCATGCGTGGCAAAATTGACATCCCACCTACCATCAAAGAGTTCATGAACATCTTCATGAAGGACTACTACCCCGAACTCAAGGAAAACATCTTCGCGGATGCTCCGATGTTCTCGACCGAAACGGTGATGTACAAATGGATCGTGAGTGGTTTCTCCGTTCTCGCCGAGCCCACGCCACTGAAACTCTTGTAGACCGACACCATCAACGGCTCGGACGTCATCGACAGCAAGAATATGGTTTGCGCATCGACTCCTTACAAGTCAGACCGAACGACGCGACCCATCAGGCCGTCGACCTTGGCTTGTATCCTACCCCGTTCAGACCGATCAACGAGGGAGACGGCGAGTACAACAGACGCGTTAACTGGTCCCGCATTGAGCTATCGATTGAGTGCAAGGTCGACCCCACCGACCAGGACCCTTTCGACGAGACGACGGACGATCAGCAACCACTCGCTGCCAATCGGAAGAAGGCGCTCGGTCAGATCCTCACGTACGTTGAGACCGTATTCATGCATCAGCATCGTACCTGATGAAGTCTGAA